TCTACACCTCCTTATGTAGTTGGCTTAAATCAACTCTAAAAAGACTTCATGAATTGATGCCAGGTTTTTATTTGACCACCCCCTTAACTCTTTTCCAACCTGATCTTAAGTCAGCTAACATTGCTCGGTATGCATGACACATGTCCCAATCGATGTAGTTTCACAACCTCATCGATCGACTTCCCTTCCTTCCTTACCTAACACTCTACGCCTTACTACAATATTGCTTACTGTATCATGCTGTGGCGTGGACTACTGACAAGATTTGTCAGTAGTATATGATATGAGACCTAATTTTCTACATGTGATTTTTACATGTCTGTTTGTATTTCTCTCACCCCACTTATTGATTGATTTATGACCTAATTTTCTCGCACCCTACTTATGACCTTTGAAATTCTATTGGTTGTTGACTGTCTAATTTATCAATTAAATTGGTGCCTCCCATGGTCATTTTAAACATATATATATATATATATATATATATATATATATGCAAGCGCTATCAATCTTCCTTGACTGTTGTTTTGAGACAGTAAAAGCTCTCTTATCAACATCCAGTCTACCCTGCTGGCTTTGCGTGTCGGTGGGTCATTGTTGTTGTTGTAGTCGTGCGATTAGGACACATTAGCCAGCGAATTAAGTTATTATTTGCCCATGGTCTCTGGGTCGTAGTTCCGGCCATAACAGTATATAAAGAGACGTCCATCAGCACAAAAATATCAAATAGAAGAGAGATAGGTTTGACGTCAATGAAATGAAATGAACCAGTGCTGCAGATAAACATGGGAAACACAATACGAACTTCAGAAGTAGGACAACACGTAAGATCTGTGCAACTGACGATTTTAATATATGCTATACATAATTTCCCTATATGTGTATATCAAAGTGCAAATAAACATTCCGTCACCAAGTCTCTTGACTGTGAGTCAACTATATAGGTCAAACTAGTAGATCGAGGATAATCAGATTGTCAGAACATAAAAATTTACCGAAGGTAAGAACGGTTGGCCGCATGCGAGAAGATAAGAAATTCAGAGAAAAGCTCAGCAATTTCAGTCAATGCAATAACACACAATCACACAATAGGATGGGAGAGGGTTAAGATTCTACGAAGTAATGTATGTAGGTGCAGAGAGAGACTGATTACTGAATCCTGCCTGGTTCATTGAGTCTACACCGAACACATGCAGAAGAAATGACTCAATGCAAATACCAGAAATATGGAAGATATTATTACCGTCAGTCAAATCAGACGAGGATAATAAATAATCTTAAAATTCTATTTCAATTGAAGCACGTCACAACATGCTGACAAGTTACTTATTTTGACTACAAAAACAGTCGTCTTTTCTCCCCATCTGATTGTATTTGATCAATAACACTCATATTATTATTTCTGAATGTACATTGTGTTATATTGATTTTTAATTCAAATATCTAGTCAATTCCACCCATGTATATAAATGAAAGAAAAAAGTGTGAGTAACTTGACATGATTATGAGCAATAGTTAATATTACCGTATAACATTATGTAATTTTTTAAAATAAAATCTTATCTATAATGGACTTATACTCTATCACAGTTCCTAAGTTTTATACTTATATTTATTGACTTTTCCTATTACATTTGATATCTCTACCTTCAGACAATGAAGATCTCAAGACCTGCTGCTTTCGAAGGAGCAGCCTCTTGTAGGGCTTCGATACTGTCACTGAGACGTTGTGCAAAGGTGTATTTCTTTGTCTTCTTTCCATGTCTACCATGTTCCACTGAATAACTGGTTCATTTCCTCTCTTTAACATCAATTCTATCTCTCCACTATTTGATATTTTTTGTGCCAATGAATGTCTGCTTATACACTACTTACAAATCTTGTCAGTAGTACACGCCAGAATACCACTTAACAATCTCAGTATACATTTATGCATAGATATACTTTAATCTTAATAATTCTGCTCAGCTAAGTGTTGTTTACATGTATGCGCACAGATAATCACACAACATACTCTGGAAATAAGTATATATATATATATATATATATATATAGAGAGAGAGAGAGTGAGAAAGTTATACATAAATGATTTGCATTAGTTTGTTTATACATTTCATAAAATGTATATTTGACTATTTCGCGATAAACAAACACCAAAATGTATGTTCAAAGGCAGATAGATTAATTCAAAGTGGTGGCAGCAGTAAAACTACCACAACTTAATAGGCATGAACATAGTATACGTCATTAAAAAAACACACATGAATAAGTGGTTAACCTAACAGAACGAAATACTTGGCATTTTGATACACTGTAGCATTGTTTGTTAACAAATGCACACTGACAGTGATAATGATAATAAATGAAGTAGAATTGTATTATTATTATTAGGCTTTGTATTGTGATACATTCATTACTTTATAAGTACGGTTCTGTGTTCGAACCCTGGTGGTGGGTATGCACGTGTTGATGATGAGTCCCAAATCGGGACGAAACAGCTGTCTAGTACCTCCTGCTGATCTCCCAATGGTTTTCTAACTCATATCGATCCGTGATCAAGCTTGAAATAAGTCAAAACTCTACAAACAAACTCTTAGAAAACTGCATAAGTAAACTCGATATAACATTATCTTATTTATTTATTATTTTATTATAGTTTGATTCGACACAGTATTTTTGGTACAACTACGGAATTTTCAGTACGTGATATCGGTAGCCCAAATTTTGCAGACCGACCATTAAAATCAAGTGTGCGCCGGCAGGGGATCGAACTCCGGACCATGTGCATGATCGGCGAGAGTCCTAACCACTGTGCAACAGAAGTAAATTTCCTCAGTGAGCTTAGAACAGTAATATGAATATGAACACTAATATGAACCAAAGTAATAAAAATCCAGTTGCCAAGGAAGTAAAAAATTTGGTTACACTTTCTTTCTGTACGCATAAGTTTGGTTTGAGACGATTGACTGCAATCGCTTCAGCGAATCGTAGCAAATTTTCTGTTGTTTGTATGTTTAATATTTTGAAAGATTTCGAAATCTCAACGAAATGACACGCAACCATAAGGTGTCTGGTAACTTCCCTTTGCGAATATCTGCTTCCTCTCCCTTTAGGCATAAACTTTGTTTCGGATATGCACAGAAAACCGGATAGAAGCCCTTCTTTCTGTTCTTTCAGTGTACTTGCTCTAGCAAGTGCATGTAAAAATTATAAGCACAGTTTGAAGTGACATCAGTAGGGTACTCTTCCAGTTTAAATTGGCCTATAGAGCATGTGGTGCTGTCTGTCTGTCTCTCTGTCTGGATTCAACATAGAACTTGTCACCGAAGTGCAGCAGTTCGAGTTGCCACGTTCCAAATAGCACACAGAGGTAGACAAGAAGATGAGTGAAGAGAATCAATAGAGTTTGACAAGTATAAGAGTGAAACAGAATGGGTAATGGTAGAAAGGAATATGAAAGATTACAGAGACTGAATACATCTGCGCCATTGACAACGATTTTTAGCCATGTCACCTATTGTCTCCAGCCATTGATTCCTAGAGTCCCGAGGGCCCCAACCCGGGAGTCTGCATCTCCCTACCTGACTCAGTTTAACTGTCAAGGATGCTGTATAGTGTTACGAGCTTAGCTACAGGGAAGTATCTTTTATTATTTCTCTCATTCTCATGTCAATCTTTTGCGATACTGCTTCTCCTTTTAACGGAAGACACTGTTTATTAGATTTTTCTGATTTCTCCCCCACCCTCATATCCTTTTCTATTTTGAAAGCGTATAAATTTGGTGGTTACTTAAACTACAAAAGTGTAATGCTTACAACATTTCGGATGCGTTAATTGTTTATAACGTTTTCTCTATTATTATTCAAACATTGAAGTATGTTATTGTTATTATTTATAACCATTGTAATTCCAGGTAGTCTGCAGTTAGCTGATGAGAACCTGTGAAGCAGAATAATATCATAATGCACTGCAAATCTGGTCTTTCTTTATCGAAAGTTTTCAAGGCAACAAATGTGTATGAAAATGAATTTATCGACAACAGTCTTCTTTCCAGTAATTGGCTGGATGAGAATTACTCATGAATAAACTTTTGTTTTGTACTTATTTATTATCTTATGTTTGGAAGTGAGCTTTAAAATAAGAAACTCTTTTCATCGATTGTGGGTGGTGGTGGTTGGAGTTTTGAATCGTGAGGAGATTAGGACTAACATCTTCTGGGTTCACATTGTTTACTGATTAGATTAACCATGTGTAGTCACAATGCAAAGTCTTTCACCTATTTAGTCTAAATTTTTCAAATAAATAACTAGTGATTACGACGCTGCTCAGAAGAAGAAGAAGGTTGTTAATCTTAGTCTAGTCCCATAAAATATGGACCTATTTCACCAGTTCCATCAGGCATAGATTAACAATACGGAGTTTATCGGATTTTCATCACCAGCTGACATTGGTTAGAGAATCATCGGAAAACCAGCTGAGAGTACTGGTCAGTTGTTTCTTCCTAGCTCACTGGAGACTGATTCTATTTAGATAGGTAGTTACCAGGGTTCTAGTGGGAACTTTTCACGAGTGAGGTACAGCAGGTCGGGTGTAAGGACAAATACTGGACGATGAACATTAGCTAAGGGGTTGCGCTACATCACGGATTGGCAGAAGTTGGAATTCATGACCTAGTCATTGGATCGGGTCGCCAGTGGTTGAATGCTCCTACGAGCTTCCCTTGTAACTGGAAGATCCTGGGTTTGAACCCTTTCGGTGACTGCGTACTGTGAAGAGTCCCAAACTAGGACGAAACAGCTGTCTAGTACTTTTAGGTTTTCCAATGGCTCTCTAATGGTTGTCAGCTCGTGATAGAAATCCTGTAGGCAGTTAAATACCTGAAAACTGGCACTTAAATATGGAGTTTACTGAAAACGAAGTCAGTAGAATGAACCTGGATCCTTCTAGCAAAGAAAGTGTTTATTTGATTTACAATCAGAGCGAAAATGTGAAACACTTACCTTGCATCAATAACAGGGAGACAATGACAGCAAGAGTCAGAACATAACCAACAGCACGAATATATGACTTGTATACATGAGGACTAATTGAACCCATTGCTATATGTTCCATAGTTACATCGTTATTATTATTATCACCATTCTCTAGATTGTTATGGTTTAACTCAGATGTGCCAGCGGTAATATCAGCTTTAGTGTCAATTAACGGTACATCATCGCCATCATCATCAATTTGCACTGAGGATTCATGATCGATAGTGTGAATACCATTTTCCTTATTGTTATGGTCATCATTGTGACTGAATAATCCGGACTCATCATCATGACCTGAAACAGTATTGATTTGACTAGTAGATTGATACAGGGGATTGGAGTTATGCAAAGAGTTCGGATTGCCTGGAATTCTTCGGTTGATAGTTCCATCTTTTAATTCAACAATAAAGTCCACTGCAGCATTTCCACTATCAGTCTATAGGAAAGCATAGAATAAATGAAAAAAAAGATAATTTTAACTATGAGACTAGTCGAAAAATTCTCGAAATGGGTACATAAATCAAACGGAACAAATAATATTTAATCATAATTATTGAAACTTCATAGGTGATCTCTCTCTCAAGGGCTCTTCATTTAAATATCGATCACTTCTATAATCACTAACAGCCTGTAAAACATCATGAACCATGTTAGAGAGAAAACATAGCGATATTTGAGACGCAGTTGTTAATTTATTGCACTACAACCCCTCCTTTTCGGTGAATTCATTCACTTAGCTGAACAACGGCATTTATATATGATTACTTTTGTATATGTGGCGTGATGAGTTGTCACGACAATAGTTGTTAATGTTAGTCAATGCATAAGAGAAGTTGAATAAGTGTACAGTAGTTACGTAATAAGATGGATAATTTAATAAGTAAGTTTTGACTAGGATGTACATAAAAACGAAGGAAAACATAAGATTATATTGTAGTGAAAGCTGGCTGCAAGCCAAAATTGTAGACAGCAATTTATGTCAATGTTAAGTCCCGAATCGCGGGGTCATGAGAAAAAAAAACAATAACAAAGTTTAACCCCTGAGGGACACACCAACCAAATATGATTCGCAGATATATGGCTTAACTTTCCGAGAAATGGCCACACAGAGATAACAGGATGACCTTCAGCAAGAAAACAACCAATCAGAAGACGTTGCTCCCCTGCTAACAATAACGAATAATAATGTACATGAAAATCTACAAATATCTGTTGATTTTCTCAGTTAACGATCTGTTGCCTGGCCCTTGTCTTCTGTCGTTACAATATGAATTATAAAAAAATTACAAGAGTTATAAGGAGTTAGAAAAGCAGGCACACAACATCAAGTCAGTAGAAATCCATACGGTTGTTGTCATAATATTAGAAGTAATTGAGTGATTTTCTTTTGTATTCGTAACTCCAGTTTTTCCAAATGAATGACTAAGATTTGAGTAATATAAAGGAAACGAGAACGTATCGCCTTTGGCAGGTTGTTCTTCACTTTGCGGATTACTTTGAAGGAGGTGTTTGTTGAAATGCAATGACCAGTGTTGACGGGATGTTCAATTATCGCACTTCTCAAAGAGCCACTACTACTTCTCAGCAACCAATATGGATAGTGTTCTTGAACCCTTTTAAACAGGATACACGTCAAACGATCAATGTATCTGGCTCCATGACAACAGGTGAACTGGCATATGCACATAAAAGTGGACGGATGCGAGATCTTTTTTCAGGCTTCCGCAGTCCAGTAAACGACTGGAGGACACTACTCTGAGCGTCGCTGAGAAGAATGTTCTTTTCAAAGACGCTGAAATTCTTCTTTTAAAGATATCACAGGCTAAAAAGGTCGACTGTTCACTTTTTTCTAGTATCGGTTCTGTAGGGATCTTGTTTGATTGCATGTTTGATTGGCAGAGGTTAGTATTCAAGAACCATTGGATCGGGTCCCAGTGAATCAATGGTCTACGAGCTCGCTAGCCTTGTAACCAGAAGGTCCTGGGTTTGAACCTGGGTGGTGGGTGCGTACTGTCGAAGAGTCCCAAACTAGGACGAAACAGCTGTCCAGTACTCCCAGGTTTTTCAGTGGTTCTCTAACTGATGTCAGCTCATGATGAAATCCTCCATGCAATATCCACTTTTTGTCTGCAGACCTTTAAACAAGAGGAAATTCTCGTGCCTCTTCCAACATCACTTACAATAATGTAACTCCAATTCAACTAGTAATAACTTTACTACAATCGCTAATGGAACAATAAACCCAATGAATGAAATGATTTAATCAGTATTTTCAAATATTTTTCTACTCACAGTATTCATAAACCAGTCCAATTGATGTGTGACAATAATTCGAGTCTTTCCCGACAGAAGACCAAGTAGACAATTGTTAGCCACCAGTTGGCTAACATCTACATCAAGTGCAGATAAAGGATCATCCAAAAGATAGACATCAGCTTTTTGATATACAGCTCGAGCCAGGGCAACACGAGCTCGTTGTCCCCCACTAAGACGACTACCACCAGCTTCCCGACATCTGTATCCAAACCATGAGGTAGGTTGGCCAAATCAGATACTAAAGCACAGGCTTCAATTACAGTATTCAGCCATGTTGGATCATAATTAGAACCAAATAGAATATTTTCTCGTATAGTTCCAGCATGAAGCCAGGGAGTTTGTCCGACATAGGCATATCGAAGTCGTGAATTTTGATTTCTGAGCTCATTTTCAGGAGTAATTGCTTGTAGTTCACCCAAAATACTTAGGAGTAGAGATGATTTGCCAGAACCCACTGGCCCAGTAACACAGATCAATTCTCCCTGAAAAAAACAATGTCAACACAAGTGACCCATAGGAATTTATTTAAAAACCATAAAGATACATAAAATACAATAGGAAATAATGATTATGTAGTGTTCCATTCGTTAAACAACAGGTCTTAGTTGAGTACCACGCTGACTTCTTAAATCATCCTCTGGAAATCGATAACATAGTATTCAGACTGTCTGTCTGTCTGTTTTCGACACAGAACTTTGCACATATGTGCAGCAGTTCAAGTCGCCACACTCCATATAGCACACAAAGCAAGAGGAGAAAGTAGAAGAAATGCATAATAGAGGCAGTAAACAGAGGTGTGAGACAAAGGAATGGTAATAACGAAGAACAAAACAGTTTCATTGGAAATCATAAGTCACAAGGAGTGGATGCATCTCCGCCAGATTGAGAACGATTTTGAGCCATGTCACCAATTGTTTCCAACCATTGGTTTTTACCGTCCCGAGGACCCCAACCAGTCAAGAAGTCTACACCTTCCTACGTGGCTTAGACTAACTGTTGTAGATTTTATTGGCTGGTGACATGTTTTGGTTTGACCTCCGCTAGCTCTTTTCTAGCCTGACCCTATATCAGCTAACATTGCTCGTCGAGGAAGGCGATCACTAGGCATACGCAACACATGTCCTAACCATCTCAGTCGATGTAACTTCACAGCCTCGTCGATTGATTTCCCCTCCAACTTACCTAGCACTCGACCGATGCCTCACCTCAATATTGCTCACCTTATTTTACCACTTCACACGGGAGATGGAGTGCAGGCACCTATGATCGAAGACAGCTAGCCTTTTCATGTCTTCCACTCTCAATGGCCAGGTCTCACAGCCATAAAGGAGGACGGAGCGGACTACTGAGCAGTACACATACCTTTGGTCGATAGTCGGATATCACGTCTAGTATTCAGACAGAATATGACTATATATGGTGTTTCACAAACTCACCATTTGCATTGTTTGAGACAAGTGTAGCTTTACGATAGGCATGTAACACAGTGGGAATGCGACGCTTATTACAGAAATGCCAATTACGTTTTATTTTAGAAATTTTAAGGATGGAACACTTGTAATATGTTACCTAATTGTATCTGCTTTGTTATCGTCTAGTTGAATAGAACGCATAGAGTTTTAGCCTATCAGTTGGCATATTCCCCAACTTATATCATTTTCCGTAATGGCAAGATATTTAGTTAACCATCAAAGGGTGTGCCTATCGCGTATTACTTTATTTTGTCTTGCATTACGCCTGTGTGATATCACAGCTGATAAAAGATACTAGAAGGATTTCTTTACAGGTACTAATGTTCGATTGCTCGCGTTCTATTGAAATGAGACGTTATCATATGATATTGATCTATCAAAAAGGTTGAGAAGCTCTGTCGATCGAGGTGCACAGGAAACTTATGACGCAAGTCGGGGAACCTCCTTCTCTGACAAGCTAAAGTAGGATTAGGTTGGAGGAGAATTAAGGGTGAACAGACTAAATGCAGCATTAACCTTTTCAAGTGTCTGGCTGTTGGTCCGAGCCATATGAATGTAGACTGCCTAGCTCAGTTCCTTGAGATGTTGAAAAGGAATGGTTGAAGATATACTGACCATTTATAAATCTCAAGATTTTGGAAATCTTCACTGCTTTTCAGTGCCCGGCTATATGACCTAGTACAGTCGATAGTGTCTAGGCTTCAGTCTTTCTCTCGGAATGCTCTCATTCACCGAAAGTGAAAGGGCGAATGGGAAATGCTGGCGCTTACAACCGGACTGATGGACCTGATTTCAGACCTCGCCCTGATAATGTTTATCGGGAGTAACTATGCCTCTTTTAATACAGTGTCTTAAGGTCATGGTTGCGCTGACAGATACCTCCGCATGGTTCCCGCTGAGTGGGGTTGCTTTCCGGCTTCCCTAGCTAAATTCTGTCAGGACGAGAGAGAACTATTTCTTGCCCTTGGGATTTCCGTACGTGGCGATGTTCTGGTTGTAATCCTCTTTGGTGCTAAGGCGTCTTGAGGGGCACTGGGGCATTGACTGCGATTGGTAGCCTGGTCGTGAAAACCTAGCGGGAAGGACGTTGGGGAGAGTTTTATATCCATGTCTACTGGGCAGCTTGATTGGAACCTTCACACGACCTGTGAGGGGATTATGTCCGAGACTAGTTTGCTCAAGGATGGTGGCCTTTAAGGCTTCGTCGGACTGCGATCGGTCGTGGGTCTCCGCTGCTGGTTGTGTGTCTTTAAAACCGTCCAGTGAGGTCATATAGCGCAGGTAGGTGGTGCAACCTCCAGCTGCTCGGGCGCACAAGCTTTAGGGTTCCACACATGATTTAGTAGGAGCAGAACAGCAGTGGTAGTTACCGCCCGCGGTCCGGGGACCCAGTCTCTTAAACCAGAATAAACATTTTTGTACAACCGCCCTGAGAGGTGTATATGACTATTGTCTCTATGCAGGAAGCATTTCGGACTTCTGGTGGTTCGGGATGTGGAATGCATTCATGAGATGAGGTGAGTGTGGGTAGGAGCTTATACAGAGAATGTTAATTGTCCTATTCATGCTTGTTTTGGTTAGCGGAGGGAGCTACCGGTAAGAGGATCGTCAGTATTCAAGGTCCTCTTGGCGGGTTAGATACCTAGAGAATCAAAGAATTATCCCTGATCCGAGGATGATGGTTGTATGCTACCTGCAAGGTGGAAGTGCAATTATGTGACCAAATCACGTGAGTGGCCATGACCCGCTGAGATGGGGCAATACGTACCATCTACGAAGCGTCCATGGTTTGGTTGAGACCGGATAGTGGGGAATGGGAAGACACCTACCGCTGCGGGAGCGTAAATGGAGTGCCTGGCATAGGGTGCTCATTTTCATGCTTAAACGTTACTACGATGTTGTCTACTCAGCAGGGATACTGGCTCTGGGGGGGGGGGAACAGGGATAATGAGAATTATACTACCACCCTCTCCTCAGCGGACTTTGTTGAAAATACGACGTTAAACGCTCAATGTACATGGGCTTTAGATTCCAAACGGATTGAATCGCCTGTGTACCTGTTTTAGTCACTGGCAACCGCGGAAATGCAGCCCTACTGCCTTGTGGACCAGAATTGGAGGATTTGGCTCCTTAAGACATCCACTTGCTTCGGTCTAGACTTCCTGGCAGTATATCTCAGGCCTCGCAGAGACCATGACATTTTATATGGCGCATCTTTTGGTGCCAATAATGTGTTATAACAATATGTAATAAAACCTTATTCTTCGTTAAATTATTCTTAGTCTTCTAAGTCCTGATCTATTGTAATTTCCGTATACTTTTCTCCCATACTATTATATTTTATCCAATGTGATAACTTGAATGGACGGCGCATATTCGTGAGAAGACCATTTGACTCTTTGTTGGAAAATAAGTTTGTTATTAGAGTCTTTTAAAACATTTCTAACGCTCTATTTTTATATAGTGAGTGGGTAGGTTGTTCTCATATTGGGGTAGACATAGTAAATTTAAACAGAAGGAACGGACGAGGATGTCAAATCGAGCGAGAATCGGGAAGGCGAGAAACACATTCATCAACCTGAAACCAATCTGGAAATCTTCGTCACTCAGCATCAACAACAAAATTCAGTCGGATTTTCAATACAAACAACGTCAAGTCAGTCAGCTCTTCTATACGGATCAGAAACTTGGAGGGCGGGTCACAAAGAATATTTCCAACAGCCTGTTGCAAACCTTTATCAACCAACAACTGTCTTCAATCTATACTGAAGATCAGATGGCCGGGCCGGAAAGAATCACCAACAAGAAACTATGGGAAGGAACAAACAAAACAACAACCAATCGCCCAGCAAATATGCAGAGAAAGTGGATTGAGATGGATTGTACACTCGCTGAGGAGGCCGCTGGGTGACATCACGCATCAGGCCATCGCTCGAGTGGAACCAGGCCGAAAGGGAAGCGGCAAGTGGGACGTCAGTGCAAGGGTGGGTGACATGGAGGAGATCGTGTGAAGAGGAGTTGAAACAGTATGGACTAACATGGATTCAGGTGAAAAGTACAGTAGAAGACAGAAGCAAGCGGAGACGTGCAGTTGAAGCCCTATATTCCACTAGGAACCCAAGAGAACAATAATAATAATAATGAACATTTCTATCAATGATGCATAAAATTATAACTGCATACAACATCGTTTGAAAGCCTTTAAACTTACCCATTGCACTTGAAGACTGATATTCTTCAGTACTAATTTGTCAGGATCAGTATAATAAAATGATTCATTCACAATACTGACTGGCATACTAATTGTAGATTTCTCGGCAAAAGAACATACAATCGGATATTCATCTGTTGGTGTACCAGTGTCAGAAAGTGATGTAGTAGTCAATTCTACTGGAAATGGACCTTGTGATAAGTAGGACAGTTTCATAATACGCTGAATAGATACAGTTGCTTCCATAACACCATTAATAACCCAAGGAAAGGCGTTCATTGGACCAATTAACATACCAAATAATGCAAGACTAGGAAATACCTTGAAAATAAAACAAAGTAATGCGTAAATTACTGTTTATTGAAGAATGAACAGAACAGATTCAGAGAGATTTTGTAACAAACTGACACAGTTTTAATGTAAATTACAACAGAAAATTAAAAAAAAGTTTAAGAACAAGGGTATCCAGAAGTCACCCGAGACATATTCACATTTTAGATGTGAAGAAAAAACAAAATAATGAATAGAATCACAGCTTAGAGATCACTTTGAGTACATGTCTATAAATGATTCTGACAAATATTTTCCATTGTCTACCTAACCGGCACTTTTCTTTTCGATACTACACTCTAACGATACTCTGAATTATGGGGAAGATTTTTATTTCAGGTGGATGATTTGAAATTAGTTGCGTTCTCTGTGGAGCTGGTTGGTTTAATTGTGAAGCTTACGTCGTCCTTCTAGACAAAATCCCCCCTTCAGCGCAAGTTTTAGCATAAACTGAACTGATTTAAATTTTCCATGAGTGACAGAATTGTGTCTCCTGGCAACCATCTTCGTGACTGGTAGTCGATTTACATCTGTATTGATCACTTTTGATTGACTTGGAATTTGAAGTTCCTTGTCAAGTGATTTACTTTTTATCAATTGGTAAATTCAGTTTACAGCAAGGTGTTCGTTAATCGCTGGTTGACTCACTTGAGTACTAAGCACGCTTCTAGGAATTCTCTCGCATTACTGTCGGGTGTTTCCTTTATTTAAAATTTCTACATTATCCCAATTAAATTGGTATCCGTAATTATCGACATATATATATATATATATATATATATATATATATATATATGCGATTGTACAGCTAAGAAAATGAATTCGCCGCTGAAAAGAGACTTTTCGCTGAACTACGTGTTTTGCTTTGATTGATACGATTCAGTCAGCACCAAATAAAGGACTAGAGACATGACACCAGTTGCTAACTATCTAATGTCTAATCAAAGCATCCATTACAATCCTACAACAAGACATCACTTCTGAACCCGAATAGCTCAGTGGTAACGTCTGAATGAATCCCTGGGTGACTCGGGTTTGAATCTAAGAGGGGATATGAATTCCTTGAAAATTGCAGACATGCCTTGCTGACTTACTCACTGATGAGTGCTAACAAGCACGAAACGTAGGTCAGGCAAGGCTTCTTTCCGACTGCCTCTAATCAACTGGCAACAATTCAGTGCTTCATCATTAGTTGATACTTCAGGTACAGACACTTGTCACACGAATTCAGTATTGATCTACGATCAAATGTTGTAAGAAGAATAAAAATATAACGTACACTTTATCATCATTATGTAAGTTCGTACACATTAGCTGGAGGCAATACGTATTATAATATGGAAAGTCTATGTTACTGTTTAAATCCAAAAATGATTGAAGTGGCCTGGAAATTTATCAGTCGGTATTCGATAGAAAAAGTAATAGAAGCAATCAACTATAATCCCAGGAAGCAGCATGTTGGAACACAACTGCCTAAAAACACGAATGAGTCACAATCTCCTCATATATGATGATTACCGATCTTTTCTTACTTTATTCTCATTTAAATCCATTACATCAAACACCTAAATTAATTGTTATAGGCGAATACTTATTAAAAATATGTTTCTTTGTAAACGCGTTGGCCAAATCCAATTGTACTCAAAGAAAATGTTTAGATTGTATGGGGGATTTCATCACGAGCTGACATCAGTTAGAGAACCACTGGAAAACCTGGGAGTACTGGACAGCTGTTTCGTCAGCCTAGTTTGCGACTCTCCAGCAATACGCACCCACCGACACGGTTCGAACTCAGGACCTTCTGGTTACAAGACTAGCGAGCTCGTAGACCATTGAGCCACTGGGGCCCGATCCAATGGTCCTTGAATTCTAACTTCTGTCAACTCACGACATAGCACGACCAATTCGCAATGTCTTCTTCGATGAGTTACTGCCTCATCTTCGAACTGCTGTACCCCACTGGTCACGGCTTCCCACTAGAACCACAGGTTAACTGCCTGAATAGGACCAGTCGCTAGTGAGCATCAAATGGTCTCAGTGGTCTACGAGCTCGCCTTGTAACCAGAAGGCTCTGGGTTCGAACCCCGGTGGGTGCGTACTGCTGAAGAGTCCCAAAATAGGAGGAAACAGCTGTCCAGTACTCCCAGATTTTCCAGTGGTTCTCTAACTGATGTCAGCTCATGATGAAATCCCCCATACAATCAAACAAAATTCCTTCAAACCAATAATTGAAAATGTTTAGAATTGTATGAAAAAAGACTGATACGCGGAAAGTGTACATTAAGAGCATAGTAAATAGGTGTATTGATTATTTTACCCAATTTAGCAGTTGTATTCTTTCCGAAGACCGATTATGACAGAAATATTGTAACATTAAAAACACTACCACATTAGGACATGAGTACGTCATAACAAATTGCACTGTATAAATCAATAGACATATATTATAATTATTTAGTATGACGAAACACAGAGAAAATAACCAAAAGACTTACTGTGGAAGCATTCAATTCATTACCCATAGCTGCATAAGTTGCAAACGTTGAACTTGCTAATAGTGCAGGGCATACTGCCCAAAAGAATACACAACAAGCATCTAACAGCTTTTGACCACGTAGTGCTTTCATCTCTTCAACTCGAGAATGCATTACTCGACTTTTCATTAAATTCTCCCAACAGGCTAGTTTAACTGATAGCATATTTGACAGGAATTCAGACATTAACTGGATGTCAAAAAAGGAAAAGAAAAGAAAATGATCTGAATAATAATTAAAGTAGCAAAACGTATCGTTATATATATATATATATATATATATATATATATATATATATATTATATATATATATATATATATATATATTGAAAGGTATGAAAGTTTTTAGAAAATCACCCTGAGATTAATAAAAAAGATAGTTAAATGTAACCAGCCCGGAACAAGCTGGATTCAGGAAAGGCAAATCAGGTGCTGATCAACTTGCAACTCTACGCATCCTCATCGAACAAAGCATAGAATGGCAGTCAAATCTCTACCTCAACTTCATCGACTTCGAAAAGGACTTCATCAGACAACGTTGACTGAGAAGTAATTTGAAAACTACTTCAACACTGCGGCGTGCAGTGCTCAAGTCTTTGTCAACCTCATTCAACAACTATATGACAATTCCGTGTCAGATGATCCACAACGGGAAACTCAGTTAGGCGTTCGAAGTACATACAGGAGTAGGACAAGACTGCCTATTATCACCGATGATATTCTTAATTGTGGTGGATTGGATTATGCGTCAGACTGTACGAAGTGAGGAGACAGGAATAGGCTGGACGACCAACAAGAAGACTCTAGAAGATCTGGATTTCGCAGATAATATATGTCTGTCATACAAACTCGAAGGCTTGCAGGCAGGCGGAAACCAACAAACTGGCTGAAGAGGTTGGCAGGCAGCGAAAACAGGACTCCAGTTTAACATAAAGAAGAACGAGGTGATGAAGACAACCAACCAACCGACAGCAACAACAACAACCAGCACCAATCACCATCATTCGGAGAGATTTGAAAAAAGGTTACCTCCTATACTTATCTGGAAAGCAGGTTTCAACCACACGCGGACAGCGCAGATGAAGATATCAAAGTCAGAATCGGAAAGGCAAGCTACGCCTTCGTCAACCTGAAACTATTTTGGAAATCTTCTGCACTTAGTGAGCATAAAGTACAGGATTCGGACTTATAACACCAACGTCAAATCGGTCATTCTATATGTGTCAGAAACTTGCTCTGCGTGTCACGAAAAGGATTTTCAACAGGCTGCTGTAGACTTTCATCAACATCTGTCTTCACTCCATACTGAAGATCAAATGGCCAGAAAGAATAAGCAACAAAAGACTATGGGAAAAAGCCAACAAGTAAGAGCCGATAACTAAACAAATATGTAGGAGAAAGTGGAGATGGATACGTTTAGAAGGCTGCTGAATGACATCGCACTCTGGACCCTCGAGTGGAATCCAAATGGGGAGCGACGAGTGGGTCGTCCTAGGGTGACATGGAAGAGATCGTGTGAGGAAGAGATGAGAGTTTGGACAATAGTAGACCCAGCTGAAGAGGACGGCAGAAAACAGAACAAACTGGAGATGTGTTGTCGAAGCCCTATGACCCACTCGGAACGCAAGGGAATAATAATATAATAAATGTAAGTAGTTCTCCTCGTTGACTAGGCAACTGATACTTAAAAAGTTATACCTTGTTATGCTGCATTCTGCTGTTCAGAAGTAAAATGTCTAATTCAAACAGTAGTTAACTGCTACATAGCTACTATATGTATTTATATAAGCAATATTTTAGTTGGGACTCAGTTACTCGGAATAGATTTCTTTCGTACCAAGCCATGAGTCACAGTTGGGTGACAGCTGCCCGCCGGTGGTCCAGGATGAAGTAGGTGAGGAGAGATTTAAACTCTGAACCCCCCGATTAAAGACAATGTATCGTATCTTTACAGGAATCATTTCTGGAGAGCCAAATTATATTCTCATAATAGAAAATAGTTAGAGTAATCAAATGCCTGTTGAATCATTTTGTATAGTTATAAGCCCCCAGCAAGCTGATCTGGGTCGGTGGCATAGCGGTTAGGACGCACGCCGACCATGCACATGGTCCGGGGTTCGATTCCCGGCCGACCCACTCCTTTACCTCGCTAAGCCAGAAATAATGCTGGTAAAGAGGAAAGGTTGGGCATGAGGCTAGCAACCCCATCCTATAAAATAAACACTGCTATAGAAACTTCAAGTCACTAGCTTGAAGCCCTATGTTCCACTGGAGAACGTGAAGGCAAAAAAGCTGATGATGAAATTCCGCTTTAGGATTTTCTAAACTAACAAATATAACAAAAAGGGCACAGAAAGCCATTTTAATTCTGGATATTTCATACAGGTAAACAGTAAAATTACACGACGCTGGAATGTAAAATATGAAATACGCTCATAAAAAACTAAGGGAATTTTTCAAACCTAAAGTACAGATTATGACGAGATATAAACATTCACACATTACCGCAATGCAAAGTTTCACTTAGTAACTATAGTGTTTGAGATACCACCGAAACAACGTGTTACCTGGTATCAAGGACGATCACTTCAAGTCACCAACACTGTAATGTAACCAACTAACTTTCTGACTTCGGCAAAGTTCAACAATAGCGTCCCAAGGGATGCGAACATACGAGTAACCTTCAGCCAGCCAATTATAAAAATGAGGAATTTTTGCACAAAACATGATGTATATTTACAAAAAAATGCATGAAAACACATTAAACAGGTTATCTTTCTCTGATATGACTTAAAAATACGTCCAAGTTATAACGAGGAGTATCAGTTGCTAAGTTAGACTAGTTTCTGTACATGTATTCACCGAGATGACTACAAACGAGCTGTTTTTGTGAATCGTTTATCTCTCTTATTTTGTTGTACAGTCTTTCCTAAAAGCCCTCGGTTGAATTACTATGGTTCTCAGTAAGAGGATCGACGACTACCTACCAGGAAAATGTGGATAATAAAACAAATTGAAATAAGTGACATCAACTCTAAATCTATCCATAATCAATCCTGACCCTAACTATAACTCCTATCCTAACCGTAATTCTATTTATGACCCTGATCCTAACCCTAACGAGCTATTAACATATTGTCCAAATAGTACTTAAAAACGTGATCTGGGTGAAATCTGCTCCTAAGTTGATGATGACAAGTACCGTTAGCCACCGACTAGCATGCGCTCAAGATCATTGGAGCGATGGCACTCCTGAGATGCTGTTGTTGAACTTAGCCCTGACCTCTAGGAAGTAAATGAAATGTTTTATCCTACCAACCAGCTCAGAGAACACTACCAATGGCAAAGACTAAGACTGTTCTGATGTAATTTGATAAGGATGGTACATGATGTTTAGCGCTGGATCAATAGCTGACTAACACTTAGATCAAATGAACACAGTGAAGGCGTTCTGATGTAATGAGCTGGACATTAAGATTACGCTGATATCTTGAGTGTTATTGCATACTTTTTCTCATTTCAGCTATCTTATAAACATAAAGAAATTTTTAGTAATTATGGCAACTGCAAGTGAAAATTATTTCAACAGTATGACTGACAAATTACTTAGAACAAACACTAGAACAGGCAAATTTGCTTCGAAAATATGTCTTCAAAATGAAATATAAAATACAAAAGGCGGCTACTGAAATCATAGACAGAAAGTCAGCCGGATGTGTTTTGACCTACTTCAGTACGTACATTTAGAGCTTTAAGAAATTTTATATTTTATCACTTTTGGTTTATTTAACTCCAGGAAAGCCTCAAAATCATTTTAAAGAGAGGGGCGGCCTAAATTACCCAAATTTGTATTTCATATGCATGTTTTCTGGAAATCGCTAGCATAAAAAAGGAAACTGAGTGTATTGAAAAGAACGCGAAAAACTGGAAAGTAAAAAAAGAACACTGAATCTCATTTCCCAATAGCTCAATATAAAAGCTAGAGAGAAAACGTAGACAGTAGACGCAAAAACACTGCATGATGAACATACCTTAATCCTTGTGTCTTTGAACAACATCAGACGGCGACTAAACTTTCCAATTTGAGACGCCAAAAGGCGATTTAGAGGAGTTAACACGATTAAGAAGCCGATACCCACCAGGCAAGCAAGTCCAAGTTGACGATAAAGTAGTGCGATCGCAACACATAATTGGAGAGGCATAGCCCAAACTTCGTGTACACTAGGTGCCAAATTAATTATTCGATCAGCATCAGATGTTAAGTAATTAACCAAACTTCCAGTTCCAATAGCGCTCAGAGATGAGGATTTTAGGGATAAAATAGTTCTATACACCATTCCACTTACACTCACTCTAACTTTGAAGTTAAAAATAGCCATTCTGTAATTGTAGGATGTGCCTAAAAGAGCTATCTTACAAGACAATAAGATCAACCCAAGGCCAGAAAGTATACAGGACCAAGAATTCTCGGAGTTTGTTATGTTCACAATAAAGTGATTTAGTACTACAGGGCTACAAAGACTAAAACAACTCAATAGGAGTTTTAGCAAACCAAGAAACAAGAATTCCCGACCGAACTTTTTAGAAAATATCTTCAACAGAGGCACAGATGTTTTTACAGAATATTCCAGATCTAACCGTTCCAAAAGCTGCTGGAGTTTTCTGCTGTCATTTTCAGATTGAAATTCCAGTTTGGGAAGCTTTGATTCTAAAAGGTACGTATTGAGGCATTTTGGCAATGTAGGCAAGTTCCTAAGCGAATATAATTCACCATAATAGCCACTGCGTACCAAGTCGCCCACCCAACAGAAAAATAGTCTTGATGGATATGAAGCCTGATCTTCGCACTTCACATTTTGTGTGATATTTTCCACTCCATTTAATACAGCTGGTTGTTGAATTCGAAGACTTTCTCTGTAGATCCTAGCTGTCCTACGTCTAGGTTCTTCTGTAGGATAAAAAATCGGCACCTTGGAAAAGGCATGCAAGCATAACAAAAATACGTGAATATAGCAGTTGGTGATGATGAAAGGTTTCCATAACTCATCGATTTCTGCCACAAAGAACCAACAATTAATGACGCAGCAAAACAGGTATACAATAAAAAACAACAGATGCAATAAAGGACCTCTAGACGAATATTTAAGGGCTTTTCCATGGAGAAAATCAAAAACAAGTGTTGTAACCCAGAGAATCGCCGTCAGCAAATTGTGTATTACAACAAAGCGTGAGTTGATTGCAAAACCTTCCTTGTAATATGGAAGCAGAAATGAAAGAACGACAGTCACACAGCTATTAGTAATGATAGTTACATCCACCGCAACCCGGAAATAAAGTACTGAACAGTAGAGATTATCAAAAGCGAGATGTTTCCATACGATAGCACAGTATATAAGTGATAAAAAGATGAAAAGAACTAAGACAGGGATGAAAACGTGAATTTCGAACCAACAAACACCGATAGAGCCATCATGCCAAGGTTCGGGACTCAAACTACCACAAAACAGTTGTATGACGGGGACCTGCATCTCATGCCTTCGGTTCCGTCACACACCCGGCGACCTTGGCAATACTACGAAATGATGCACTTAAAGATGTTGTCATGAGTGAATAATTTTGTCTCTACCTTGAGGAAATATAGGAAGATTCGCGTGATTTACCGCGCCTTGTGGATTTTCGCTGTCATTCAAATCAAATAAGAGTAGTTATGTAGGGTAGAATGTAGTACTAAGTGTTATAAGAATAAAAATTGTGCACTGTGGTAGAGTGTAATTCCATCATGGGTAAATTTTGTTTTGATAAAGTTTCACAGTGTTATACAGTAATGTTTACTGATGACGTTTCGAGCACAATTTATTGCTCATAATCATATGAAGGTAATCACACGACTTCCTAAATTCATTTATAGTACTTCCTAAATTCATTATAGTACTAAGTGTGTCTTGTATTATAGTATATGTTGAAAATATCTGTAGAGGTAGATAATTTCCGGAAATTATTGGCCTTAAGTATTCATCACCCAGCATTTAAGACTGACCTTAATTGTTTTTTTTTGCCGGTTTAGCTGAAGGATCGCGGTCAAGCATCTATGGCAATTAGCATGCTGTCGTGTTACGTTCGGTTGTTCGAACACGACCCCCAGTTGATTAAGAAATCATCCTCGCGCTACAGTTTTGATACTGGAATATATCGTGTTTTGGACTAACAGTTCAGTGTATTGATCTGTCACTAGTTCACACTGAATAAATACTACAGGAGTTGTGGGTATAAGATGTTGCGTTAGTATATTTCGTACTATACACAAACGTCAAAACCCTCAGTTTCTAAAAGTCGTGCTTTTCGCGAATACCAATTCACGCCACCCTACTATGAACATCAGAACCCACTGCTCATGGAACGAATGACTTGATCGATAACCTGAAATTCTAATTTAATAATTTCTAATTTTCTACTCACAAAAGGGTAGGTCATTATTTGTTATTCACTACTTTTAGACGTTTAGCTTTTATGGATAAGTCAAATTCACTTTAACCTTATTAAAACGGCCTAATTTCCGATTACGTATTATCTTTTATTTAGATTTCAGATTACATCGCTTATCTATCGTCATTAAGTCTCACACATAACATCCGAACCATAGGACTATCCTTTGTTTTCAAAACTCAGTGACCATTATACAACAAGCTGGGGTTGGTTAATAGCAAATTGGACCATACGTCCAATGGTGGAGGACAGCTGTGGGTGGTGAACTGTCGTAGTAATGAGTGTCTAAATGGCAAAACTGTCATAAGTCCCTACCCACTCCTGCATATTCGCAACTCAACTATCTATTGTGGCTGTCCTTATAAAAATTGATTTAGTTAAAACTTATGACCGAATGCGATGGTACTAGAAGTAATTCAGAAAACAGCTGCTATTAGACTTTTCAAATTATCTGAATTTCTACGGATGACACTCAGTCTTTGGAGTGCATCGTCAACATTACTACACTTTATTGATGATGCGTGATTCTGTCGAGGCTTTTTTATAAATCCGAATAAAGTAAACCAAATTCAACATTGAGACATTGCTTTCGACAGGATATGTAAATAAAACTTTATTATAATTATGTATAAGTAATAGGTTGGGAGAGAATTGCCTTGGCTTCATTGGACGTATCATCGACAACAAGTTATCCGACCTCTAACCAGTAAGGTGGAGGCGGTTTATGAATTTCCGGAGTTCGAATCAGTGAAAGATCTTTTGGCTTTACCGGTGTGGTAAGTTATTTACGACCGTCCCTTTCCAAAGGCGCGCTTCAACGCAGCCACTGAAAGACTTTATTCGAAGAAGAATCGAGTACATAAGTCTTGATGGATCCTCTAAGAACGCTAACGCTTAAGACCCAGCCTCCAATGTCAATATTTTAGGACTCAAAGTCATCCCTAAGTATGAAAGCTTAGACATCCTAATCTGCGACCTGTGCAGTTTTGCGACAGCTAGTCACTAACCACCGGCAAATACTTATCTTTATCTCTAGCCATCTTCAGGCCACGGAAGTAAGGTATACTACTTTCGACAGACATCTGCCGGCCAGTCATCTTACTGGATGTCACTTTTGACATTCGAAGGCAATCCTGCATTCGTCATTTTCACAGATCAAAAATCATGAGCATACTTTTGGAACTTTTGGAGGCTGAGGTTGTTGGTGTTAGCAGATAGTACGAAGTAAACAAAAGCAAGGTCTAATACACACATGTTCTATAGTATTCGTTTTGGGTAGACCAAAGCCAAAGCGAAACCTTATAATTGATCGGCCAAATGATGAATTATATTCCGGGACCAAATTGGAATGCGCGATGATTGCCTAACTATTTAGGGGTCGTGCAGGAACGAACGAAGAAGCAACCAACCGCAAGTGAAAACCCAATGGTTTTACCAGCGGTAAAACTCTTCCGACGTGCTTGATGGATTGTCTCCTGGTCTTGCACCTATGCTAATTGGGTCTCTGTAAACCGCTTCTTTTACGGTGCCCGTTGGATCTCATGCTTCGCACCTGGATAAGGAAACAAGGATTCTGATAACCTTGTCAAGGGAAACGTACCGAAAGTAACTTTTGAATAATGCTGTACGCTTACCACACAGAAAAATAATGCAAACTATAGAACATTGAAAATCAAATCGAATTTTTTTGTGGGTGTGACACATACGGTTATAAAATATTTTCCACTCATGTTGTGGGATGCAATAAAAAAATTGATGTGCCTGAGAGAAAAAATATATATACCTCAGGCGAATAAAAATTGGGTGAGTCGCATCGTTTAGTTATGTGAAATAAGTATTAAGATGCTCTGAGAATTTCACGGTTCGTCCAGAACGCGTTTTCTTTGAGGGCTTGGCAGAAGGTTCGGTGGAATTCCCCGTGCTGGTGATTTGTTCAATGACTAATGGATATACAATATCACTGGGAATGCTTACCTATAGGCTCATGAGATCGCCTTCTAAGTAGACCGGTTTCAGACGGTCGATGCTAACGTAGTCTTCGTGGCCCATTTGTCTAGGAAAAAATCCATCCATACGTTTAATGGCTTTATATGGTCCATCGTATGGGGGTTTTAGAGGGCCACTTCCACAGTCACGACGGACAAATATATGTGAAGTTTTCAGAGTTGGGTGAACAAAGACGTCTATGGACTGCGGTCGGGGAGCAGGTTTAACTGAACGCATTGCGTTTGTAAGCTTGCTAACGTACGAAGCGTGATCTACCGCTGATGGGAAGCTGGAGGGAGAAACAAACTCACTACAGGCAGTTGTAGTGTTGTACCATATACCAGCTCTGCAGCAGGGCCAACAGCATCAGTTTTCAAGGCATTTCTATGGCTAAGAGAACTAATGGTATGGGTTCATTCCAATGTGCATAGTTTTCAGCCGATAACTCAGCCTTCAACTGTCGGTGTGGACTTTCTACCACACCGTTAGCTTGAGGCTGTTGTTCTAAAACGTGTACAATTAAGGATTTTAGTCAAGGCTGAGAATTAGTCTCTCCTAAATTGCAGCCTACAATCAGTTTTTATGGAGGATGGGCATCCGAAGTTGGAGATCCATCGTTCGACAAAGACGCATGCGACTGTTTCAGCAAATGGATCCTTGATGGGTACTGCTTCGGGCCATCGTGTGAAACCGTCGATGCAGGCTAGGTTATGGGTATATCCATGAGGTTCTGGAGAGGGTCCAACCAGATCTGTATGAACCTGTTCGAAACGAGTATCTGGGATAAGAAATGTGCCAAGAGGGCTTATGGTGTGTCTTATCCCCTTGCACTTTTGGCAAGATAAGCACGTGTGGGCTGATTCCCTTACTTCTTTATTAAAAAACAGGCCAACAAAACCGACTAGTTACGAGCTTGACGGTAGTTCAAATACCTAGGCGGGATAAGCTGTGCGACGTATTGAAGACGTTACTGCGATGATTTTTAAGTACGATGAGGTGAGGAGCACTCACAGAAATGTCATATAGAACAGTGTCTTTTCCCATGCTTAAGGCTTTGTGGACTAATCGAAGAGTTTGTAAAGGCTATTACGGCTTAGAGTAGACCCCTACTCTAAACACCCTCACAATCTTCTCCACCGTTTTACGACCTTAGCTGTACGCTACTCAACGTGCAAATACTGACGAACTGTATCGAGGTAAAAAGACTTGATATGACAAGAGTATCTGGGAGAATTATATTTTATTCAACGAAATATGAAGTTCAATAAATAAAGAGGTTGTACCACCTATCTGCAGACGTTGCTGGAGGTAGGCTCGGAGAGTGTGCAGAATGAGAGCACAACGAGAGAGCGAACCAATGAACGTACTGAAGAGTTACAACTCAAAAGATAAAAGTGTGTCAAACATGGGTGAGCGAGTTTAAATAAAAGTTCAAGGGTACAGTGTGCACTACAAGTTGTTTCCGACAACTCATGTTGAAGCTCGGTATCTTCCTTCAGAAGACGAGAAAGTTTTGCGCAGCCTGTGCAATCTATTTAGACGAGGCAACAAATGTACCACAAGGCATCTATCAGTGTCGTTCACTCCGGATACATGTCGAATATCCGATGTAAACTGTGAAAAGTAGTCCAGTCGCCGTGATTCTCCAGGTGAATACTTATCTGCAGTTCAGTTCAGAGAGTACGTCAGAGGTTTGTGGTAAGTAAAAATTATGAGTCCACGACCCTCCACTGAATGTCGGAAATTATGTATAGCACAGTACATAGTCAGAAGTTCTCTGCCGAATGTGCTGTACTTGATTTGTTATTTGTAGGCACCTTGAGAAAAAGGTGGGTGGCTGCCACTCTGTGTTGGCTATTTGTTGCAGAACTGTTTCGTTTGCAGTGTCTGATGCATCAATTGAGATAATCAGCGGTGCCGATCCTGATAGACAGACAGGATGGCTTCCACGACACTTTGTTGACCTGAGTAAAAGCATTTTGAACAAACGCGTCAAGTTCAATGGAATTGTTATTCCCTCGAGGGAGGTCTGTTAGTGGCTGAATCAGGGAGGCACGGT